ATGATGCCAATGAAGAAATCTTTTTCACTCCAGTGTAACTAGGGTCAGCTTTTTAACAGTACAGTTACGTGACTTGTCCTTTGCTGAGCTGTCACTTTAGCGTTTAGCATGTCAGAATAAATCTTATATTAGCACAACTCTGCAGTAGCTCTGCTGACATAAAACCAGCATAAGTATAAGGAGAGGCTTGGCCAAATTGTTTAGTTCAGATCCCTGATCTTTTGGAGTGGCTCCAGCATTGTATAAAGCAGTTTTTTCTTTTTCTTCTTTTTTTTTTTTTTTTTTTTTTAACTTCTTTGTGCTTAAGTATGGAAGCTAACAGAATTTCTGTTCTTGGAAATTCAGTATTGGGGGGTTTATTTCGCTCTGGCTATTGGACTGCTTTGTGGTCCTTCGTGACTAATTCTTAAACTGAGGGGTACCGAAATCAGAATATCCTTGTGTAATCAAATTGTTGGAATTTCATATTACAGAGGAAAATGAAACAGGTCTGTGATCAATAATTAATCTTTATGTTAAAGGAGCATTTATGAGTGTAACGTGTGATGAGACTCAGATCTAGGTTGTGTTCTTAGCGGTTTGAGGAAAGTGCTATTTCTAGGCTTCCTTTCAATGTAATTTAAACTGAGAAGCATTTGCCGTTGATTTTATCAGAATTTGTTTGGGTCCACGTACTGTCTAACTGGAATAGATATTACAGAAGTACCTCGCACTCGTGTGAGTTAAACATGCCATTTCCCGTTGATTCCCATACATATGATTTATGTTTTCAGACTGATGTAGGGAAACCGTTGCAGCCGAATGAAAGCCAAACCAAAGCCCAAGCAGTCCCGGCGGCGTCAGAGTTAACTCCTTCCTAGGAGCAGGCACGGTGGAGGTTCTTTCCTCCCCAGTACCTCAGCTCCATATACTGGGCACTGCCAGGGTTCAGCAGAGGTGCAAAACCTCAGTAACTTCACAGAAAAGCCATTTCCTTCAGACAAGGAAATTTTCTGACTGTCTTTCAGTGCCGTGACACATGGTACGTGCCCCTATGTACTTGGAAGAATGACAGATGTCAAGATGTCGTTTTTGTATTTGTATATGTATAAAGTATTTCCTACCACAGAGAAAAAAGGATAGGAGAATGGGAAGGTGGTCCAGGACTCTGCAACGTCCCGTGTGCTCGGCTGTGACCGCTAAAGGGACAGCACTGCAGTCCCTGCACCGACCCCGGGGTGTCTGCTTGAGACGGAGCCCCTCTGCGGATAAATGAACGGCATCTCAGTGCCTCCAGTCCGATCGGTTCCGAAGTTCGCCCAGGCGGCCCAGAGAGGGCTGCGGGACAGCTGTCAGACCCCCAGGGAAGTCCTGCCCTGCCTGCCCCGGCCGCAAGCCCGCCGGCTGCAGCGCAGGGGCCGTCTCGCCTCCAATCTGCTGCCCGGAGCGGGGGGTTCGGCGTTGGGGGAACCCCACTCGTGTCCATCGGGAGGCAAAAGCGCTCTTACCTTGGAGTGGGAAACGCCCTTCTGCCCTAACACGCGGGGACACAGCAGCTTCCGCAGCGCAGCGCAGCCGCGCAAAGCTGCAGGTACCGCGTTGTGAGGGGTCGGCGGCTGCCCCGGGGTGTCGTCTCACCCAGCAGCCGCCCAGCCCTGGCGATGTACGGGTTTCCACGGCAGCGTTCCCGCTCTGGTTGTGAGCGGCGAGTTTTTTCTGGTTTGGGGTTTTGGGTCCGTTTGATAGAATGCAATTTGCAGATAAAACTAACTCATGAGAAGCAGCAACTATTTAACTGGGGACTATTACTTGGCTGTAGAGTCATTCCTGACGAGGACCTCGGTGGTACACACACTTTCCTAACTCTCGGCAAGCCTTCATGCCTTCATTCGGGGGATCTCTTCCCCTGTGCAGCGTTATCGGGCTGGGCTGGTTTCATTTAGTGTTTTTGAGCTACTTTAAAGAGGCAAAGCGTGTTGCCTTTAAACACACGTGGGTTTTTTTTTTTTTTTAAAGGGGGGGGGGGAGGCTCTTGTCTTGAGAAACTGCTTGGTTTGCAGGAAGCCCTCCGGATGTTTGCTGCTTTTCATGTGGCATTTGTGGTCGGCTCTGATAACGCCGGGAGCACCACTTCCAACACCGCGGGCCGCAGCCGACCTGAAATAGAAACACATCTCTGGCCGGAGGATCCCCGCGCCGTGCCCCGCCGGGTTTAAAAGGTCAATAAATCAGGAGGATGAACTCCCGGCGGCATTGTTAGGTTGGGAAAGTTCACGAATGACCCCGGGAGTCGTGCGACCACGAAGGTTTCGGGAGTGTCAGACGAAGCTCTTCAGTAAACGCTTTAGGGAAGAGTGGTGGAAGTGGAGAGCGCAACCGCAGTGGGAGCCAGTGCTGTGAGGGGTGTTTTAATGTTACAATTCAAGAATCCCTAAAGAGTCAAAACAGAAATCGAGAAAATATGTGAGATCATCTCCTTATGACGCCAGGGGCACTGAAAGGGTCACAAACTGCCCACATTTTCTGTACAAAAGAGGGAGCTTTTACTTTCTCGGCTTCGATTCAAAACACACCTTTCTTTCTTTGATCCCAGATCAATGAGCTGTAGAAACGGTTTGCACAAATCTGCCGAACAAAGTCAGGGCAGTTTGCTTAGTTTACTGCCTCGTGTTCATTATATAGAAAAACATTTTCTTTTATGCTGGAAGTGACAGCCCCCAAACTGCTGTAAACCGTGTTTGCAAGCGGTCCCTTAACCCGCTGAACTTTTCCAGTACTAGCTCTTGCAGGATTTGTTCCCTTGCCTGCCGAGAATGTTCCTGCTCAGTAGAGTGAAAGGGACAGTTTGGCGTTTTAACAAGAAATAAAAGGTTGAAAAAATTCAGGGCAGCCGGTTTTGGCCGGGTCAGTGACACGGCGGGAGCTGGGAAAGGGACGAGGCTCTCCCGGGCAGTGCGTTGTGACCCTCTGAGGTTTTGTTTCGCTTGGGAGTTATCCCACTTTCCCCCTCAACTGAGTGTTCTGGTCTCAGGAGGGAAAAACACACACACTGTCATCCTGTGGGAGTTCACCTCAGACGCGGTTCGAATTCTGGTAAATTTAGCGTTTTCTCTGGGTACCGGCCGTGTGTGTCATACCCTGGGGCTCTGCGTCCCGGTACGTCGGGTCGGGAAATATCACTGCCTCAGCCATAAATCAAAATCACTGGCGCACCAGCATAAGGGGTGCCCTGAGGCCCCCCAAAGGCGAGGGACTGAAAACTAATAGAAAAAAAAAAAAATCCTAAAAAGCATTCCTGGTTATTTTTGACAGCTCTGTGTTGACGGTCGGTTTGCAAGCGGAACACGTCCAGATGAGTTTCTTTCACAGTCGGTTTTGAACGCATTATACTTTTGCAAGAATGGGATAGTTAAATACTTGTATGAGGTCAATTTATACATCCATATGTGTAGAAACATTGTTTTCGCCTCCGCTGCTTTTCATAGCATCTGACAGAAGAAAAGCAGAGCTCTGCGATCGCTGCCTCTCGTTTCCCCTTCGACGGGGGAAGGGGGAAATAACACTAAAAGCTGCTCTTTGCTTGATTTTAGGCAGCTACCAGAATTTTGGCAACGGTTTCGACTTGTCGCAACAAGGATAAATACAGGGTTACCATTAGGTTGGAAATATATAGATTGTATATATTATAATCTCTAACAAACAGGGGGAAGCAGAAAGTGTGAATGCACAAGTGCCGCCGTAGTTGTCCTCCCGATGTTTATCTTGCGCAGGTACCGATAGTCGCTGAGGTTTTCTTCTTCATAGAAAATTGAAAAACATTTAGAATATTTAGGATATATTGGGAATACACTTGACTGGCTCTCAAATGTAAAGGAGCGGGTTTTACTCTGCCCAAACCGGCATTTTCAATGTTACAGTAAGTGAATGGTGATACTGTTTTCATTCATTTCATTTCAGCTAGGATCCTTACAATCTTGGTTTATTTGATCGAAGTGGCCACCCAAACAAAGGTGTCCTTAACCAAATAAACCGCTTTGATCTTCAGTTTAAAGCTCGGCTCTTTCTCAAATAAGCATCGATGCATTTAATAGCACCACATAACAGTGCAAATATTAAACAGCGCCCGTGAAAACGCCGTATTTTGCATTTATTTGTGTGCGGAAAAAAATAACATAAATGGTAGCGAGATAGAATTTGTGTTTATTCTGAAGTGAAGGACTCTTTTCAAGCTCTGTTTGTGTTTAAAGTTTGTTTAGGTGGGCAAATGAGAGCTCCTGAAGAAGTCAATGCAGCAAGCAACTCCTGCAGCAAAGCCCACGTAAAAAATAATCAGGTCAGTTTACCCTACATACAGTAAATATTTGCACTTTTGGCAGATACTGAGTAACTTTATTACGAAGTATGAAGAAGTGAGATCGGATGTATTTTATAGGCTTTACGGTGGATATAGTACCCCACCCTTTTAGAATTACATATTTTAGAGCTTTAGGGGTGAAATTCGTTAAGGTGACACCAGACGGCAGGAGGCTGCAGGGTGATGGCTGCTCTTATTCTTCCGCAGTCTCTTTCCAAGCCGGCCCACCAAGTGAGCCGCCTGTATCACTCCGGGAGTTACAGGGTATCTGGCTCCTGATGGAAGCAGTCTGAACCTTCCACCGTTGTCACGTTCCCCTTGGTCAGGGTTCTCCTTTTCTGGTTGGGCAGGTAACCGGTGGATATCTACCTGAAGACATGCCGGTAGCGCAGGACCTCGGCGGGCCATTCTCTGCTGCCACCATGGGAGCGGGAATGAACTCCGAGCGCCGTTTACGAATGCACTATCCATTCACCCGAACGACCCCCCTCACAGTTCCACAGGGAAGGGGGCAGTACTGGGCACAGAGACACTCGACATGCTCAGGTGCCGGCCGCGTCGGGAGGAGCCCCGGGGCTGCCCCGCACCGCAGGGGGAGACGCCGCCACCGCCCGGTGTCCCCACCCCCCGAGGCCCCATTGGCCGCGTCGCCGCTCAAATAGGGCCGGGCGACAGCGGCTGCCAGCAGCGAGCGGGGCCCGAGCGACGAGAGTAGCCGCTTCCCCCACCGGAGCTCTCGGCCCCGGCGGCGCAGCCAGACATGAGCAGCCCCGATGCGGGCTACGCCAGCAGCGAGGACCAGGCTCAGGGGCGGTGCTCGTTGCCCGTTATGATGCCGGCCGTGGGCCCATGCCCGTGGGCAGAGTCGCTGAGCCCGCTGGGCGAGGCAAAGGCGAAGGGCGAGGCGACGGCGTCAGGGGCGTCGGGCGGCCGGAGCAAGAGCGAGGCGCGGATCCGGCGGCCCATGAATGCCTTCATGGTGTGGGCGAAGGACGAGCGCAAGCGGCTGGCGCAGCAGAACCCGGACCTGCACAACGCCGAGCTCAGCAAGATGCTGGGTGAGCGCGAGGGGTGCCGGCAGGCGAGGATGGGGGCTCGGGATACTGGCGGGTAGTAGAATGCGGCGGGCGGGTTCATGAAATGGGGGACTCGGGTGGGTGTCGGGGCACGGACTGAGGGCGGATCCGGGAGCTCCCGTTGTGCCGGGGTTCCAGGTGTGCGGAGTTCCCGATATGCCGGGGTCCCGCGGGGCGGGTTCGAGAGCTCGAAGCCGGCGCCCGCCCGGGGCTCTGGGCCGGGCTGCGGACGAGACGGCGGCGCCGTCGGGGCCAGGCGCGGAGTCCCGCCCGTGTGCGGCCGGTCTGACGGTGGTCGTGTGCGCAGGTAAATCGTGGAAGGCGCTGTCGCTGTCGGAGAAGCGCCCGTTCGTGGAGGAGGCGGAGCGGCTGCGGGTGCAGCACATGCAGGACCACCCCAACTACAAGTACCGGCCGCGGCGGCGGAAACAGGTGAAGCGCCTGAAGCGGGTGGAGAGCGGCTTCCTGCAGCACGGCCTGGCGGAGCCGGCGGGGCCCGGGCTGAGCACCGAGGCAGGCGGCAGCAGCGGCAGGATGTGCGTGGAGGGCCTGAGCCTGCCCTACGGCGAGCAGGGCTACGCGGTGTCGGGCGTGGGCCACTACCGGGACTGTCCACCGCTGGGCGCCGGCTTCGACGGGTACAGCCTGCCGACGCCGGACCCGTCGCCGCTGGACACGGTGGAGAGCGAAGCGCCGTTCCTGGCGGCGGGGCTGCAGGAGGAGTGCGCGCTGGTGCCCTACGGCTTCGCCCCGCACCCGGCGGCGGCGGGCGAGTACTCGGCGGCGGCGAGCGAGAGTCCGGCGGGCGCGGCGCTGCGCCGGCACCTGCCTTCCGGCGAGGCGCTGGGCCCGGGCCCCGCGCTGCAGGGGCTGCAGGGGCTGCTGGGCTGCCCGGCGCCGTTGCACGCCTACTACGGGCAGGCGTGCCAGCCGCCGGGCCCGGGGCGCGGCCCGTTGCCGCCGGGAGCCGTCGGGCAGCCGTCGCCGCCGCCCGAGGCAGCGCCGTGCCGGGAGCAGCTGGAGCAGCTGCCGCCGGAGGAGCTGCTGGGCGAGGTGGACCGCACCGAGTTCGAGCAGTACCTGCACTTCGCCTGCAAGCCCGAGCTGGGGCTGACCTTCGCCGGACACGACGTGGCCGAGAGCGTGGGGCCCGTCTCCTCGGCCGTGTCGGACGCCAGCACCGCCGTGTACTACTGCGGCTACCCCGACGTGTGAGGGCCTCCTCGGGAACACGGCTCTTCTTGGCTCGGACTTGCGGGCGGGCCCCCAGCCCTGCTCCTATTTATGTAATTTATTTGAATCTTGAGAACTGACAGGGTATCCGCGACCTGCTCGAGGTTTAAAAGGCGACTCGCCTTTTCGCTGTCCAGGTGGTGCAGGTTTTACCACTACCGTCCGACAGTGACATGTCAAACTGTTCCTGCTGTGGAATCATGATGTTAGTAACACACGTGGAATACAGAGTCGGAGATCTTGTTAGAGATCCACATGCTATTGTAATGTTGTACAGAATGCTGGGTTTGGGTTTTATATGTTGGATTTGTACAGAATAATTTTGCACTTTTACAAATAAAAGGGAAATAATAAAACTGGTTGCTGATATCTCCTCCAAGGGGTGTTATCGTACTTTGTGGTCGATCACTGTTGCTTTTTAAACTACTTTTACTAATGTCCCTTGCCGTAAGCATTCCATCCTGTCATCCTCTCTGTAGACAATCTTCTTCTGTCTCTCTTGCTCGAATGACAAACAAAACTTTAAGGGCTCAGAAAGTGTCTACTCCACGCTGTTCTTTATTTGGTGGTTTCTCAGATTGTTGATTAATATGAATTAATTTAAAAATTAATAAAAAGGGCGACCTATTTTGTAGCTGAGGAGTAAAAACTGTAAAAATGATCTTACCGAAGTAGGTTAAAGTTTGGGTCTGTTTTTAATGTAACCGTGGACATATGGTATGCCATCAAGAAGAGCTCCTCGCTGAAATGGGCAGCGAAGCTCCCGGTCATTCAAGCACCTCCCCGGCGAACCTGTGTGCCGTGTCCGGGGAGCTGCCTGGAGCAGGCTGGCCGTGGGGGTAGCACACCCCAGCTGTGCGGGAACGACAGCAGTAAATCTGTGCTAAAAGCAGGTGAAAAATTTCGACACGAGTCTCTGAAGGGGGATGCTGGGCAGGGGCAGCCCCCTCGGGAACCTCCCGCAGCGGCTCCTTCAGCCGCACCTCAGAGAGTCTTACCTTTACCTTCCTAAAGTAATCCTTCAAACTGCTTCATCACGACTATAAATAGAAACATCTTTGGGGTTGACAAATATGCGTCCTGCAGTTAAACTTCCGTGGCAGAGAGAGGGGACAAGGAGGGGGCAAGATTTTAGTGTCAGGACCGACTCCAGCTGTGGTGTTGGAATGATAAATTCGTGCTGTTCATTACTGAAATCGGACGGAGCAGTTATCTGGGTCGTTTGCTTCCTCAGATAAAGTTGTGGAGCTGAGTCCTGGGAGGAGGGGGCCAGGCCCGAAGTGGCAGACTTGCCCACTGATTAACCGGTCTTCCACAAGAAAGGGAAATTCAGCTGGGGACGCTTCCAGATCACTTTAAAGAAGCTGATGTTTGCACTGGTGACGGATGAAACAGTGCCCACAGCCCCAGATGACGACTGCCTCGCTCAGTGAAATTCAAGCATTGCCTCGCTGGCAACTGCATACTTTTAGTAGTCTTGAATTAAAATGAATTCAGACCCTTAGTGTTCTGTTAAATCTAGCCTCTAGCTTCTCAAACAGCTTTCAATTCCAGAAGGTACAGCTTAAATACCCACCCTGCCACTGTCTTTATTCCTCGATGTATACTCCAGAAAACAGATGTGTTCCTGAATGAGATGGTACCTCAGGGCAAGGGCATTAGATGTCTGCTAGATACGTTAAATTTGGAAAAGGTGCTCCTAAACACAGGCATGTAAATCCAGTAAAGAAATATGCATGAGAAATTATGTTTCATGCTGGGTGAATTTTCCCTTTATCATATGCTTTTAACCTACAGGATTGAATTAAATTCGTTTTGCCTTTCCCACACACGATTTTCTGAAGGAAAATCACTTTAGTTGGTGTTGGGAATCAATCATTACCATGCTTTTGATAAGTTTGGCCACCATTTCTTGTCGTTTTTCACTTAGGTGCAGGTTTTGCTCCTCTCCTTTCTTCTTCATCCCAACTTGCTGGACAACTGGAAGCTGCGGAGAACTTGTAACTGTCAGCGGGCTCATGACAAAGGTCGAAAGCCTTCTACTTGCCTTTGATTAATGATAGTACCTGAAGTGACTGGCAATAAATAGTGTTAAATAAATGCATAGGTTTGGAAAATACCATAGCAGTCCTGGGTGCCAATCGGTTTGTATTGCATAGGTAGATCTTACAACAACCCTTTGCCCAGAGCTTTTTCAGATTGAAATCTAATTCCTGCGTGTATCCAAAAGTGTAGTCCTTCCCGTGAGAAGAACTCCCTTCTTCCCTGAGCCTTCCATTGCACGTCTAAAATGCGGCAGGCTTATGCACTGCCAATACATACGAAGCAAATTTTTCTGAAGCTCCGTCCCAGGCCTGTTTTTCCATAGGGCGTGTCTTGACATTCTAGATGATGTTCACCCAAATCTGACCTGCAGCCCTTCTGAAAACATCAAACCTTCCGCACGTCCCCTGAATGCCTCTGATAACTGGGTATTAAGAGAAGGACCCAAACCCGACTGATGACCTCTTTCCAAGGGTTCGGCTCCGGTGTTGGCGCGGGGGAAGCGGTTGCTTCCCCCGGCAGGAGGCGGAAGAAGGCTGCAAGTGGGAGAGGAGAAGCAAAGTGCCCCGCGGCTCCCTCACTGCCGCCCCCTGTGCAGGGCCGGGCTCTGCTGCTGCTGTCCCGGAACCGCACCGCTCCCCGGAACCGCATCTGCTCTGCGTTTAGCAGTTCTGGTTGACTCCCAAAAGTAAACCACAAACAGGGGATGACACCTTCAAACGCCTCTCCAGCCCTGACAGCATAGCCGCTCTCCAGTTACACGTTAGAAAGGCAGCTCCTCAGGCCCCTTTCCCCAGGGACAGGGAGTGCTCTTTCCCTGCAGCTCCCCGGGGCTAAACGGTGTCCAGCTCAGTTTTTTTGAGTCCCTGTGTTAGCAGTTCCTCGTGTTGCAAGGTGTCCGTACTCGTATCTCCATTTTTTCCAACAAAGCTCCTTATGTGGGTGTCACACTGCAGCTGGACTCCTTTTCCTATTTGTTTTCTTTCTCATTTTCTTTTTCCTTTTCCTTTTTGTGTGTGTGTTCCCTTTCTTCCTTAGGTTTGTCGGTAGAAAAGTCAGTAGGCCTCAGCTGACAGAAAGAGACTTCAAAGGCGCTGAACTAAAACCAGTTCAGGATTCATCTACACGGGGCAGCCGGCAGCGAGAAGTCAGGTGGTGAGAATGAACCCTCACTCACTAACGGAGGGTAGCTGGTACTGCAAATGTCAGGAAGCGGCGGTGCTGGGCTCTGAGAAAACAGCATTAGCTTTGGGCAGATTTATGTCCGTTGTTTGTTTCTGGTAGTTGCGTGCTTTTCGAACTAGAAAAAGAGCAATCCATAGGCTGCAGAATTTCTCTTTATAGAGATGTTTTACTTATTTACGTGTTATTTTGGAACAAATCGCTCAGGGGGACCGCTGATGGCCTCCCCTTGAGGTCTGTACTGAGGCAGTGGTGTGCATTGGGGCTCAACAGTGGGTTACCACCACGGTGCTGCTGTGCCAAGTAACGTGTTACAGACAGGGCTGTGAAATCCAGGATGTACATACTCACATTTACTTAACGTTAAATAGGCAATTAATGTGTTCACTAATTAAATGACTGCAAGATCAGAGCTCTATTTCTCTGCTGCAGCTTCCCATCTGCAAGAAGGCGACAGTTTCTTTCACCTTCTCTTTTAACAGAACCTCTTAAATATGGCATCTGATTCCTCATCTAATGCAGTGTGCTGGTCCATCAAGGCTTCTTGACAACTGATACTCTTTTATCACGGAATCATAGAATCACAGGACAGTTTGTGCTGGAAGGGACCTTGAAGATCATCTAGCTCCAACCCCCGTGACATGAGCAGGAACCCCTTACATTAGACGAGGTTGCTCAAAGCCCCATTCAGTCTGTCCTTGAACACTGCCAGGGATGGGGCAGCCACAGCTTCTCTGGGGAATCTGTCCCAGTGTCTCACCACCCTCACAGATGATACTCTAACTGTATGTATTTGTCCTGGGTTCAGCAGTAGCAGTCATTTTTCTCCTTCTTGGTAGCTGGTGCAGTGAAGTGTTTTGACTTTTGGCTTGGGAACAGAGCTGATAACAAGGATGTTTTGGTTTGGCCAAGGACCTTGTGAGCCTCATGCTCTGCCAGGGAGGAGGGGAAGCCAGGAGGAAGCAGACAGGACACCTGACCCAAACTGACCAAAGAGGTATTCCATACCACAGCACGTCATGCCCAGGATGTAACTGGGAGTTACCCAGAAGGGCTGGGAGACTGCAGGGTTGGAGGAGGTATCGGTCGGAGCTTGGTTGGGCTGGGGGAGTTATCGTTTGGCTGGTGCTGAGGTGTTGTATTCTCTTCCCTTGTTATTTCCTTTATCATTGTTATTACTGGTGGTAGCAGCAGTGATTTGTGTTATACCTTAGTTACTAAACTGTTCTTATCCCAACCCGCGGGAGTTGCATTCTTTTCGATTCTCCTCTCCATCCCTCTGGGAGTAGGGGGAGGGAAAGAAGGGGGGAAGTGAGTGAACGAGTTGTCTGACTGGGTTTAAACCACGACAGTATTTTACCCAGAACGATTGACTCAGAAGCTCACAGGAGGTCTGTGGCACAAGGAGATTTCAACTAAATGCAAATACTGCTCCAGAGCAAATGCTGTGTAATTTTCCTTGTTCCTGTTGACCGCTGAGTGACTTCTCTCTAGCTTGGCTGCTGCTGAATATATCCCCTATTTTGGGATTAAAAAAAAAAAACAGAACAAACCAACAAAAAAACACAACACAACAAACCCCAAACAGCCAAACAACAACCAAAACCAGAAACAAAACCAAAACCAAAGCCCACATCTTCCAAAGACAAAAAGAAAAGAAATTTAAGCTATTCCTACGCTGTAGGGAACAAGCAGTTTCTACCCTGTAAAAGGACAGGTTACATGAAGGAGAAGACGAGTTACCTGTTTCCTGTGCGTGCCCCGAGGGGCGCGGAAC